CATGTGCGCGTTCTGCGTGCGTGGCATGTACGGGTCTGCCGTGCGTGCAATGGCCGTCTTGCGTTCCAGTGCCATATTGTGCTTGTCTGCGTCCGTGCGTGCATGTGCCGCGCCTGCGTGCGTGCATGTTGCCGTCTGAGTGCGTGCATGTGAGCGTTCTGCGTGCCGTGCATGTCCGCGTCTCGTGCAATGCATGTGCGAAAGTCTGCCGTGCGTGCATGTGCGCCGTCTGCGTGCGTGCATGTGCGCGTTCTGCGAACGCAATGTGTGCGTCTGCGTGCGTGCATGTACGGGCCTGCGGCGTGCGTAGCATGTGCGCGTATGCGTGCGTGCAATTGTGCGCGCTGAAAGTGGCCATGCCAATGTGCGCGTCTAGTGCGTGGGATGTGCGCGTTGCGTGCGTGTATGTGCGCGTCTGCGTGCGTGCATGATGCGCGTCAGCGTGCGTGCGTGATGTGCGCGCTGCAGTGCGGGACTAGTGCGGCGTCCCTGCGTGCGTGCACTGTGCGCTATCCTGCGCTGCGTGGTGCGGTGCGCGGTCCTGCGTGCGTGCATGTGCGCGTCTGCGAACGTGCATGTGCGCGTCCTGCCGTGCGGCGCTTCTGCGTGCGTGGATGTGCGCGTCTGAAGTGCGTGATGTGCGCGTCTGCCGTGCGTGCATGTGCGCGCGTCTGCGAACGTGCATGTGCGCGTCTGCGTGCGTGCGCTTCTGCGTGCGTGGATTGTGCGCGTTCTGAGTGGTGGATATGCCGCGTCTGCGTGCGTGCATGTGCGGCGTCTGCGTGCGGTGCGATGTGCGCGGTCTGCGTGCGTGCATGTGGCGCGTCTGCGTGCGTGCATGTGCGCGTCTGCGTGCGTGCATGTGCGCGTCTGCGTGCGTGCATGTGCGCGTCTGCGTGCGTGCATGCGCGTCTGACTGCGTGGAATGTGCGCGGTCTCGTGCGTGCATGTTCCGGCGTCTGAAGTGCGTGCATGTGCGCGTTCTGCGTGCGGGGCCCAATGTGCGCCGTCTGCGTGCGAGCAATGCATGTGCGCGTCTGCGTGCGTGCATGCGTGCATACGCGACCGTGTGCAAATGTGCGTGCGTGTTTGCATGCGTGCCGGAAAGCCTGTGTATAACTGTAAACACATATGTGCGTTAGGGCAGACCCGTAGCCTGTGTGTGTGGGGGGGGGGGGGGCAAGGGGGCAGGTCCCCTTTTTTAGCTGTTACCACAGCATAGAAGGGGAAGCTTCTTTACCACAGCTAGAGGAGGAAGCTTCTCTCGCCATACTAGAAGAGAAGCTTCTCCCGCCCACAGCTAGAGGAGAAAGCTTTCTCTCGCCACAGCTAGAAGAGGAAAGCTTCTCCGGCCACAGCTAGAGAAGAAGCTTTCTGTTACCACACTAGAGGAGGAAGCTTCTGTTACCAACAGCTAGAGGAGGAAGCTTCTGTTACCGACAGCTAGAGAGGACAGCTTCTGTTACCAACAGCTAAAGAGAGGAAGCTTCTGTTACCAACAGCTAGAGGAGGAAGCTCTCCGCCCTACAGCTAGAGAGAAAGCTTCTCAGACCGCCATCAGCTAGAGGAGAAGCTCTGTACCACAAGCTAGAGGTAGGAAAGCTTCTGCTACGCACAGCTTAGAGAGAAAGCTTCTCTCCGCCAACAGCCTAGAGGAGGAAGCTTCTGTTACGCAACAGCTAGAGAGGAAGCCTTCCTGTTACCACAGGCTAGAGAGAAAGCTTCTGCCCACCACAGCTAGAGAGGAAACTTCTCCCGCCCACAGCTAGAGAAGAAGCTTCTCCCGTCAACAGCTAAGAGGCAAGAAGCTCTTGTTTAGCCACAGCTGAGAGGAGGACGCTTCTGGTTACCACAGCTTAGAGGAGGACAGCCTTCTTTACCACAGCTAGATAGAAGCTTCTGTTACCAAAAACAGCTAGAGGAAGGATACTTCCTGCCCCCGCCCAGCTAGAGAAGAAGCTTCTGTTACCACAGCTAGAGGAGGAAGCTTCTCCCGCACAGCTAAGAGGAGGAAAGCCTTCCCGCCCAGCGCTAGAGGAAGAAGCTTCTCTCGCCACAAAGCTAGAGGAGGAAGCTTCTGTTACCATACATGATAGAAGAAGGAAGCTTCTGTTACCACAGCTAGAGGAGGAAGCTTCTGTTACCACAGCCTAAGGAGGAAAACTTCCTCCTCGCCACAGGCTAGAGGAGGAAGCTGTCTGTTACCACAGCTAGAGGAGGAAACTTCTCTCCCCACAGCTAGAGGAGGAAGCTTCTGTTACCCACAGCTAGAGGAGAAAGTTCTGTTACCACAGCTAGAGGCAGGAAGCCTTCTGTACCACAGCATAGAGGGAGGTAAGCTTCTGTTACCACAGCTAGAGGAATACGAAGCTTTCTGTTACCCCACAGCTAGAGGAGAAAAGCCTTCTGTACACAGCTAGAGGAAGGAAAGCTTCTGTTACCACAGCTAGAGGAGAAAGCTTCTGTTACGCACAGCTAGAGGAGGAAGCTTCTGTTTACCACAGCTAAGGAGGAAGCTTACCTCGCCCGCCACAATCTAGAGGAGGAAGCTTCTCCGCCACAGCTAGAGAGGAAGCTTCTGTTACCAACAGCTTAGAAGAGGAAGCTTCTCCGCCACAAGCTAGAGGAGAAAGCCTTCTTTACCCACAGCTAGAGGAAGGAACTTCTCTCCTCACACTAAGGAAGAAGCTTCTGTTGCCCACAGCTAGAGGAAGAAGCTTCCCCTGTTACCCACTAGAAGGAGGAAACTTCTGTTAACCACAGCTAGAGGAGGAAGCTTCTTCCGCCCACAAGCTAGAGAGAAATCTCTTATATATATATATATATATATATATATATATATATCATGTTTGTTGACTGCCATTCTATTATTGAACAGCCTAGGTGCCAGTGGACTCGTTCGTATGTACATGGAAGACCGTTGATTAGACCATGTTTGCATTGTACCTATTTTGGTTCATAATTGCATTGTGGCGCCGTCTCTAGGCTAGTATTGTCATTTACTCGCTCATGTAGCGCTCTACATTTGCAGGTTTCCACGTTTCCAGCTTAACGTAGTCAAGCTTACTACACCATGTTATATAAAACCTAACTTAAGTTCCCATCAAATAATGAAAACATTACATAGACAAGATAACAAACATAAATGTTTGAAGTTAAAAATTTATTTTAGAATTCCTTTAAATGGGAAAAACAAACCTGGTATGTGTATATGTGATAATTAATAATGAGCAGAAAGCAATTACTCACACACATATACACGTCTCTATGCAATACACCACAATTTTTGTCAATCCAATACCAAAGATTCTTTACAAACAAATTTTTTAACACAACAAATTTTCACTCCCATCTTTGAGCATAAAATATAGGATACATGATTTGTCAGTGCAGCTAGAAATAAGATTAGTTATACGAGATCATCCGTAGATATAGCTCCGTGGTAGCTGTGAGAAACATCACACCCAGTATACGTCCAACTGTTTAAATTCCGATCTCCCATACAGCTTGTTTACAGCACGTACTCGATTTTTAGGAGATTCTAGATGTAAGTAACACTACATTATTTTATTGGCAGCAACTGATTGCCCACTAGGTGAATATGCACTTGCGTGCATGAAGATGCAACCTGCCAACGCCATTTTTAAAGCTAGTGCCTAGGACCCGAATTAACAGGCGCACAGAGAAGAGGGTACGTGTTTCGTTGACTGTGGTGTTCACTCACACGCCATTGCTATCACTGGAGATTCGACCAAGACTTCCCAGAGGAACAGATGAAACGAGTTAAACAAAAGCCTTCAATATTTAAATGATATACTTCATATCGAAAACACATTACGCTTTCCGGACACAGCCTCTTCTTGTACACACCCAATCCTACTTACCAAATCTTGCAAACAATGCCAATAAATACAACCATATAACGTGTTGGAACCGCACAAGGGTGGACGCCAATCGAGGCAGGAAGGAATGCGCGGTGGCGCGGATGAAACGTCCACCAGGTGGCAGAGCAATCTACTCTACTGTGTACACCATCAGGAAGTTTTCATCGCCGATCTTCCTTGCTCCGACTGGCTCACTGCCAGGGGGCGCTGGAGTGAATCCAAGGAACATGAATGTTCTAATGAGTGACGCTGAAACAAAACACAAGACGCTTTCAGACTGGCACAGCGACGGTGTTCACGGAAATGTAACAAAATCTCATTGATTGTGTTGATTGTTTGCAACTTGGAACTCAACTGAAAAAGCATAGTTTGGTTCATAGTTGGGTTGTCACTCACTGGTTGTACTCGTTTATGTTAAATAGCGGGGCGTGGTTTGTGAGTCGGATGTTAGTAATTTGCTGATACCATGCAATGGGTTTTCCAGGATGCCTGTGTGCCACTGTGGCACATAAGACTCTTTAGCTCTGGCCTTTACAGACATATTTGCAGTTTTAATCGAAATATTTCTAGGTGGACCTAATATGTACCCCCTACTATCTGATTTGTTCTTTACAGTCAACCGACTTCACAAAAACAACATGTACCATGTAAATCACAGTTCCGATTTCTTAACACACGACGACGGCATCTTAACGTCGGGCTATTACAGGGGTCGAAATTAGCGGTATCCCGATATCTGCGGGATAGTAGATTCTTGTGTTGGATACCAGATTTCAATGCTTGGTATCCCACCGGGATAGTAAAAAAAAAATCATCAAAATCGAGATAGTGGTTATTGAGTTATCAACTTTATACGGCAGCGCATCTGAGCGAGTGCGCGCGATCTGATCATAAATGTGATGTGTATACATTGTATCAAGTGAACCAGACAATGTGTCTAGACAATACGTCTGCAGTGTACTTGTCTGTGCATATCTGTGAATCTGTTTTCATGTTTTTAGCTCATCTGACATAGTCAGATGCAGCTTGTAGAATCGCTTGATCGTCCGTCCGTCCGTGCGTCCGTCCGGCCGT